ATTTTTTTGTATTACTATTATTATTCATTATTGACAGAACTTCAGGCTCCTATGGGAGAACTGAGGCATTCAAGACCTCGCTCCAGTCATCTTGCAGAGTGAATGTGGATCCTGTAAATAGTTTTAACTTTTTAACCAGTTTTTAACGAACTCATGTGGAAGCCACGCCACACAAGTCTACCTGCAAGTTGATGCTGTTCGACGGTCCTTTGCAGTATAAATGTAAATGTAAACTGACCCACCCATCTCAGCATCTGCGGGCGACCCTCCAACAAATTGCACGATCGCTGATTTATCACGATGTAAGTGCCAAACATTGAAGATTTTTCCAAAAGAATAGATGTACCTGATATCGTACTCGATGTTCGTATAATTTTTCAGTGTGGATATATCGTTTAAATAAAGAAATCGTAATCGTATCAAAGGACTCCTAATTGGCCGCCATGCAAGTTTTTGCTAGCGCATAAGCGGTTTTTCCCCCATGACCTTTGACATAACACTTTGAGGCCGCTTAAGAAATTACGTGTTGATACGTCTTATAGCCCAAGTTTCTTCTGGCCTTAACTCCAGACTTGGACATTTTGAAATATAGTTTACCAGATATCCATATGTCAAAATGTCTAAGTCTGGTGTTAGGGCCAGAGGAAACTCGGGCTAGCTACGTCACTGCAGACATTCCATAGGAATGTGTCTTACCCAGAGTTACCGCCCTTCTGCCGTGTCGTTTCTTTTAGTGGCTGGAACGACCTATTTAGTCCGTTCTAATGGCTAAGTGCTTAGTCCATGTTCATATTACTGTATTTCTCTTATCATACTTTCATTAATATTCAACATCTTAACTGTAATTAGTTCCTATTTTAAGTTTTAGTGACAAATAGAAATATATTTGATTTATTATAAAAGTATTTAGAAATCAAATCGTTTTGAACACATAAACGGAAAGACCCCGATGGAAACCCACGTACCAGGAGAGCTTTCCCATCAGGTAGGCTAAATAATATAGTGGTACGGTTGTTTTTGAGGTATACAGCATACATTTGATATTAATAGAGTTTCACTTCTAAATATTTATTGCTATTTCCGTTCAATTAGTCCACACTAGCTGCCGTGGGTTGTCGGTTGACTAGTTATAGGCTAACGTTATGGCCCGTCTCACCGCACAGGGGCCCCGGGTTTGTTATGGGGTAAGTGCTGTGACCATAACAGTTACATATAGCAAATTTAAAGGCCCTATATGTTTGAAACGGACCTTTGGGCTAGTCACAGCAAACTTCAAGTGGTATGACACGCTGTAGATTTCTGTTATTTTGTTATTACAGAATTAAACTGTGTTTCGCCAGTTGTTGACGTTAGGCTTTGTGTGGCCTAGTTACCTCAGTAGATCGTGTGAGTCTGTGTATAACTTTCACAGACAGGAAAGAGGAAAGGTTCAATAACTGTGTCACATAGTTTTTCCTGTGAGTCTGTGTATAACTTTCACATACAGGAAAGAGGAAAGGTTCAATAACTGTGTCACATACTTAAAAACTTTTCGAATACATCCTACGAAGTGAAGTTATGTGCCGAGTAGAACTATTGACAATCTGAGGCTAGTTTTCAACATATGCTTCAAGTGCAAACCAATACTTCAAAGGTTCTTATAAAATATTATCTCAATATATACTGCGTACGTGACCTGTTAGTCTTGCCTATTTTAGATTATACTTATTTGCATTAAAGAAATAATCATTTTGTGTATAGCACGTATGGGTTCAATTCAATTTCCTATAGTACTACGAGGTCAACAGGGGAGGTCAGTCGCGCACGCCTACACGTAAGGGTATATGACAGCCGTCCTACATTATACAAACATGAGGTATGAGATCAGTACATGTACGAAATAGATATCGAAACAAAATGCTTCACCGGACATAAGGATAATTTTAATTTTAAGAATTATTACAACACACATAGGCTTTCTATTTGCCTTCTTTTTTCAAGAGGCGTTATAGAGACGGCTACATATGTCTCCGAGTGTTAAATACATGCATGTTTATAAAATCAGAGATTAATTTTATGAAGTTACTGTATATCCTCTTTTTAATACTGAAAGTAAAATGTAAATTTTTTAGACTTTCATGCATCTAAATTTAATCAGAAAACTTACAGGGGTGTCACCGCACTGTCGGGGTTGTCTAAATAATCATACTTTATATTACATTATATGACAAATCACAGTTTATATTTTAATGTGGTGCACACAATACACGTCTGTAGAATATATGTGTGTTAGCTCTGTAACAGGTTGACTGACCTATCGTGTGGAGATAACGTGTATACATGTCAAACTTATACAGGTGAGAAACACAACATTGCTCGATGGGAAGGTTCCATTACGATGGTAGCATGAGGGGTCAGATATACTGGCCTACATATATATATTCGGGTACCTTACAACCGCGTGTAATGCAGGTAAAAGGAAAATGGAATATTCCATTATGAGGTTAACACGAGGGACTAGTCAAAACTTGTGTGCGCTGACGTGAAGAGTGGGATGTATTATTGGGGCGGAACAATTTGGAGTGCATGGTGTACTGAGTATAATGTGTTGGTAATATTGTAAGTAAGAATTATATAGGTGCGTGTGTGGATATTAAAACGAGTAAGAACAGTAGCGTTTATATCACGGTGATATAGTGTACATGTATCTGGTGGCCGTGTAGGAATGGGTACGTGTATATCAATATAGGGTAGATAAGCTAAGCTAATACCAATTTATTCCCAGAATCCACAAAAATACAACTATAATGCACTGTATCTAGTTATGATGTTGTGGGGTCAGGTGTTGGATCAGCCCCGAGTGAAAGACTATGTGTGATGAACACAGGGACATTTTTTGTCGGAAACTTGGTGGTGGATTTTATACTGACCTCCCAGCTCCATAGCTATAGTATGTTTAATAAAAAAAACCAAGAATAATAATGAAATAACGTTTGGAAAAAATACCACGCCTTATTTTGATTTTAGAAAAACAAAACCATTACTCTGGTTTACTTATTCATTTATTTATTTATTTTAGTTAATTATATTTCTGTACCTTTTGCAATATCTTAAACTACTAAAATATACCATGATATATATTACTATGATAATTCACTGTAGCATTGTAGGCATTGCTACACCTAAATGCATGACTTGTTGCTACATAGCCACAGAAACAGAAACTTTGATTTTGTTTATAATGTAAGCATTTATTAATTGTTAAATTTAGTATAGGAGGTTGGGCTGACTTTTCTGAAAGAACCTTATGAATGGAAGTAGGGTGTGTATGGGGGATAAGGGGGTGGTAATTTTGGGGAAGCTTTTGAGAAAATGTTCAATGTTGCGTTTCAATACTACTTGATTATATGTTCAATGCTGTCTGATAATGTTCGTAAAGATATTACTACGGCTAAGGTTTTTGTTTGGCATTAATGACCATGGGTAGTTTAAAAATAGGCTGCGTTAATTGCCGTGGACTGGCATCAAATACTATAAAAATATGCAACATTTTTGACAAGTGTAGAATCAACTACGATATCTCTGTCCTTATTGACATGCATTCCACAGATAAAGTTGAACAAAAGTGGTTAAAAGAATGGGGATATACTGCAAAATTCTGTTCCTTTTCTAGTGGTAGTAGAGGAATAGCTATCCTCTTCAAAAACACATTTCAATTTGACATAGTGAAAGAAATTAAAGACACTAGTGGTAATTTTCTAATACTTGAGAACGCAAGCAGTTATTGTACAGGAAAAAGAAACAAAATGAAAAAGAAGATAGAATTCATTAGTATGCGAGACAATATGAAATAAAATGTAATAATTGTCATGTACTCCACTGTATACTAACATGTGAACAATCAAAAATAAAATATGATAAAAAATAAAAATAAAATAAACTTTTTCGAAATTTCCATGATGGCGATTATGCATTCTCAAAATAAATTCTTTATGTTACAAGGGCTCCGTCAATTCTGACTTTTATACCCTCAGGGGTCCTATTGCAGAGGCGTGAAAAAAAGGTGTTATTTACAGTGATTAGTTGTTTTTTTTGTGATTTTTTTGTGCAAGGTATAGATAAAAGATAAAAGCTGGGGTATGGTTTTGAGTGTGATGAGGGCTTCAAGGGCTGCATAGGTTAAGTGTGCCTTGAAGACCTCTAGTGTTGTGCATTGTACTGCTGCTATATATGGGTAGAAGATTCCATTGTGTAATTGCGTGTGGAAAGAATGAATATTTGTAGGTGTCCTTTGTAGCAGATATGCGTTAGGGTGTGTATACATGTATGGTTCAGGGGTCTACCGGTGTGAGTATATGTGTTGGGTTAAATTTATGGCTACAATTTGGTGTATAATTTTGTGAAAAGGATATAAAGTTCTTGTGTGTAGCAGCGCCGTGTTTGCAGTGTTGGCCAGTGTAGTGTTTGGATCACATCTGTTACGGAGCTAGTGTTGTGTAAGTAGCATGCTGCTCTTCTTGTGTTTTATCTATTTGTTTAATTTGGTTTGTGTTGTGTGGATCCCAAATGGAAAAGCAGTATTCAAGTTTTGGCCTGACTAGTGCTTTGTATGCGTGTTCTTTTATATGTGGTGAGTTTATTTTTAAGTTGTGTTTTAGAAAACCTAGGGACCTTGGCATTAGCTGTGATGTTGTTAATATGTTTGTCCCATCGTAGGTTATTTTGTAATGTTAAGCCTAAGTATTTGCTGGATTCTACTTGGTGTAATGTGTGGTTGTGGAGTTTGTAGTCATAGTGTATTTTGTTGTGTTTCGGTGTAATGTTGAGTATGTTGCAATAATGAAATGAAATGTGTGGGTATATGATATGCCTGCTTATTTATATAAGAGACTAATTAACCCTTTAAAACAACATATTTTGAATTGTTATATTTCAGATGAAATTATTAGATCTTAGAATTTAGGAATGGGGGGGGGGGGGGATATTGACATTGGAGGTAAGTCGCTTATGAGCTGATGCATGATCAGAAATCAATTGGACTTTGCCCTTTCCTATTGCTGTTATCGATTGCAAAAATTCCTCAATCCGTTCATTATTGTACTCAAAGTGTCATATGTATACAATGTTAAGTATTCATTGGAAGTCATTTATTCTTTTCATTTTTATAATATTGATGGTGATACAGAAAAAAATCAAAACTGCATACAAGTTGGGTTACATATAGACATGTACTGGCTACACCTGACATCACATAACCCTACATATAATATTGATTAACAACCCTGGGTTACATATAGACACAACACCTGACATCACACAACCCTGCATATAGTATTGATTAACAACCCTGGGTTACATATATACACAACACCTGACATCTCACAACCCTACATATAATATTGATTAACAACCCTGGGTTACATATAGACACAACACCTGACATCTCACAACCCAACATATAATTTTGATTAACAACCCTGGGTTACATATAGACACAACACCTGACATCTCACAACCCTACATATAATATTGATTCACAACCCTGGGTTACATATAGACACAACACCTGGCATCTCACAACCCAACATATAATTTTGATTAACAACCCTGGGTTACCTATAGACACAATACCTGACATCACACAACCCAACAACCCTGGGTTACATCAACATATAATTTTGATTAACAACCCTGGGTTACATATAGACACAACCCCTGACATCACACAACCCAACAACCCTTGGTTACATATAGACACAACACCTGACATCTCTCAACCCTACATATAATATCGATTAACAACCCTGGGTTACCTATATACACAACACCTGACATCACACAACCCTACATATAATATCGATTAACTACGTATAGACACAACACCTGACATCTCACAACCCTACATATAATATAGATTAACAACCCTGGGTTACATATAGACACAACACCCCTAACATATAATATTGATTAACAACCCTGGGTTACAATGTACATATAGACACAACACCTGACATCACACAACCCAACAACCCTTGGTTACATATAGACACAACACCTGACATCTCTCAACCCTACATATAATATCGATTAACAACCCTGGGTTACATATAGACACAACACCCCTAACATATAATATTGATTAACAACCCTGGGTTAGCTATAGACACAACACCTGACATCACACAACCCAACAACCCTTGGTTACATATAGACACAACACCTGACATCTCTCAACCCTACATATAATATCGATTAACAACCCTGGGTTAGCTATAGACACAACACCTGACATCACACAACCCTACATATAATATCGATTAACAACCCTGGCTTACAATGTACATATAGACACAACATCTGACATCACACAACCCAACAACCCTGGGTTACATATAAACACAACACCTGACATCACATAACCCTACATATAATATCGATTAACAACCCTGGGTTACCTATATACACAACACCTGACATCACACAACCCTACATATAATATTTATTAACAACCCTGGGTTACCTATAGACACAACACCCGACATCACATAACCCAACAACCCTGGGTTACATATAGACACAACATCTGACATTACATAACCCTACATATAATATTGATTAACAACCCTGGGTTACATATAGACACAACACCTGACATCTCACAACCCTACATATAATATTGATTAACAACCCTGGGTTACAGATAGACACAACACCCCTAACATATAATATTGATTAACACCCCTGGGTTACCTATAGACACAACACCCGACATCACACAACCCAACAACCCTGGGTTACAGATAGACACAACACCCCTAACATATAATATTGATTAACAACCCTGGGTTACACATAGACACAACACCTGACATCACACAACCCTACATATAATATTTATTAACAACCCTGGGTTACCTATAGACACAACACCCGACATCACACAACCCAACAACCCTGGGTTACATATAGACACAATACCTGACATCACACAACCCTACATATAATATTGATTAACAACCCTGGGTTACATATAGACACAACACCTGACATCACATAACCCTACATATAATATCGATTAACAACCCTGGGTTACCTATAGACACAACACCCGACATCACACAACACAACAACCCTGGGTTACATATAGACACAACACCTGACATCTCACAACCCTACATATAATATTGATTAACAACCCTGGGTTACATATAGACACAACATCTGACATTACATAACCCTACATATAATATTGATTAACAACCCTGGGTTACATATAGACACAACACCTGACATCACATAACCCTACATATAATATCGATTAACAACCCTGACTTACAATGTACATAAAGACACAACACCTGACATCACACAACCCTACATATAATATCGATTAACAACCCTGGCTTACAATGTACATATAGACACAACACCTGACATCACACAACCCTACATATAATATCGATTAACAACCCTGACTTACAATGTACATAAAGACACAACACCTGACATCACACAACCCTACATATAATATCGATTAAGAACCCTGGCTTACAATGTACATATAGACACAACATCTGACATTACACAACCCAACAACCCTGGGTTACATATAGACACAACACCCCTAACATATAATATTGATTAACAACCCTGGGTTACATATAGACACAACACCTGACATCTCACAATCCTACATATAATATCGATTAACAACCCTGACTTACAATGTAAATAAAGACACAACACCTGACATCACACAACCCTACATATAATATTGATTAACAACCCTGGGTTACATATAGACACAACGCCTGACATCACATAACCCTACATATAATATTGATTAACAACCCTGGGTTACATATAGACACAACACCCCTAACATATAATATTGATTAACAACCCTGGGTTACATATAGACACAACACCTGACATCTCACAACCCTACATATAATATTAATTAACAACTCTGGGTTACAGTTTCTAATTCATATTACCCATGCTATGCCATTGTCAATCATTATTACTTGTGTTGTGAATTAATCAATGAATTCAAAATGAAATGATGGTAACTGTTCACTATGATCATTTGGAGGACTGCACCTTTGCTAACCTGCAAATGTGCATGTCTTACAAAGTATGATAGTGTGTAAGATACAGGGTTTTATGTTGTAGCAATCACATGGGCTTGTTTTTGGGATTTTGAGTAAAAATTGAAGGTACTGAGGTATGAAAAATTATACCTCTGTACCCTCACGTTTTATAAGGTTTGAGTACGGTATGTGCCTAAACACAGGATAAAAAGAGTTGCCACTATTTTACTGAACCGTATACATGTATTATTAATCAAAATTATTTGAGTTTACGTCATATATATTACTTAAAATCCAGAAACTGAGCACGTGTGATAGCAACCTCAGCCCCGAGTTTTTGATATATTTTTGATATTTTTTAAGGTGAATGTGGGGCCTTATTACAAGCCTCTTTCCAACAAATATTCTGCTGTATTTTCCCAAAATGTTTTAATCAACGCAAAAATCACTTTATTTTTTCAAAATCATATATGCTTTTTCTTAGTGATATTTTCATAAGGCATGGGGCCCTGTCAATAAGATGTAGAAAAGTCACTGGATACCATAACTATAACGGTCGTAAAATATCAAAGCTATAAATTAATCGGACTATCGAGCCACAGTTCCAGTAGCTACTGTTTGTGTGTAACAATTGTAAACATCAATAAATCCTTTTAATAATTAAAAGAGATTAGTTCCAAGCTGAGAGCTATTGTAGGGTACAGTGGTTAACTCATTATACCCCTGAAGACATATTTGAACTGTTCCAATTCAAAGGCTGGACTAGTACATTATAAAATTTCAGAGGTGAATGAGTTAAGTTTGCTTGCATGGTGTTGGTCAGTATAGTACACATGACTAGTGAAATAGATAATTTGTTAGTCCTACTACAATGTAACGTCAGTAGTCTGAGATTGCCTGAAGATAATATTGTCAGCATAAAATGAGCAATTTTATTGACTATAATGGAGAACAATAACCTTTAATTCCTATTGCAACGAAAATAGTGGGAATTTGAGTCAAATGAAATTCTTACAATTAACAGGAAATGCAAATCAATCTCTATTATATGTGAATTGGCGACTGTAGCTTTATTTTCTATTGATCTAGAAGTCTAAGCCTTATTTAATATTTTTGTTGATTTTCAGTGGGAATATTTCAAACTTGGTTGGAATTCTTATCTTATGATTGCAGTTTAACTATTTTCCCTTTAAGGGACAACACGTTTTACTTTATTGCAGTATTATTTTATCATTTTACTGATATTTACTAGCTCTATATAAATGTGTGGCACTCCCCCGCATCATTTTGTAAAAGCTAATTCAGTCAGAAAGATAATTTGGGTTATATGTACTTTCATTCTTTTTTCACAGCACAATAACAATTGTATTTTTACTCTGGTGACAGGTGAAGCCCATAGGTCTCTTACTTACCATCTTCCTAAGAATAAACTGCCACAAATAAACTCAATTTAGATTATTTCTTGTTGTTCTGAACTGGTGCAGTAATTATTTATCACATGATGTGCTGTGTTAATCCAGTGAATATCCCCATGTCATAATCTTTTGCATATAAAACCCATGTAATATGACCTGTCAGCCCTGTGACTGGTTGTAAGTTTCAGTTGTGACGTCACGTCTATGACAAACTCGTACATGACGTCACAAACTTACGCACTGGAGTAAAAATGGCGACCTTTTACATTTCAAGGTTGAATGAAAATTGTCGTTTTACACCAATAAATGCCACAAATCTTGATTATGTGATAAAAAGGATCTTACATTCGTTTTTATTTCATATGAAATTCATGAAACTCATCACAAGTTTTCCATTTTAGCTCGCCAGAGGCTCGCTAAATTGAAAAATTCTTAGACTCGTTTCATAAATCTCATATGAAATGGAAACTCATGTAAGATCCTTAATATATTCAACTAACAAAATGTCTGCAACATTGGCCTATCCCCTGCTGCTAGACTTTGACTAACATGGCTAATTCTGCCATTGGCTTTGAGTTATTGCAAGGAAGGACAAAAGTCTAACATTGTGTAATGTAAGAGAATACCAGCTGTTGGTAGATGATATTGAACAAACTAAGTAATACTATAGCATAAATACTTCTATCAGTGGAAGGGAATATATATACACACATTTGTAGTGGACAGTTCTTGAACTACAGATCTATATATTTTGATGAAAATCAACACTTCTTTCTATAGAAATTATTGAATAATAAAGCTAAACATTGATGCATATGCATCATGCAAATTGATGGGTTCTATATATCGATTTTATATTCATGTACATTATTATTGTATGTAAAGGTAGATTTGTGGACATCTTGTTGACTGTAACTTTAATATTTGTTTTGATGTGAAGCTAAGTAATGCATTATTTTAGTTATACATGTGTATTTACATTTGTTCAGTTCTAACTTTTACCTAATTTTGAAAATAAGAAATGTGTTAAAACCTGTTTTTCATCAAATCCTAATTATTCCTTTAGAAAAAAGTAAATACTAATTCGTTTTTGCAAAACCCCACCATTTTTAATTGAATGTTCATTTAGATAAAGTAAGGTAATAGAGCCAACATTTGTGGGTTGATCAGTGCAGGGGCGCTTCGTTTTGTGTTACTGTCATTGCTCTGCATACCATTTGGTATCCAATCACAACATACTCAAGCGTCACCATTAAGTGGGTTTTTAAAGTTTATTTGGCCAAATAAACTTTAAAACCCACTTACTGGTGACGCTCAAATACCGGGGGTATGTTGTGATTATATCCATCTTTAGCTCACCTAACACAAAGGGCCATGTGAGCTTATACCGTCAACTTTTTCTTTTGAACAACTTCTTCTTAAGAACTGGAGGACCTAGGGTCATGATATTTGGCCAGTAGGTACCTGGGATGGAGTGCTACACAGTGTCCTCATTAAAATGACCTTGACCTTGTTCCAAGGTAACAGGGGGTCAAATATGTTAAAAAACTTCAAACAACAATATCCAAATAATTTGGACTAGAGTCATAATACTTGGGTAAGTTATGTAGACCAGCTGTGTGAATCTTTTTCTTAATAACAGTAATAAGGTCGACGGTGAACTTTAAGTGCAAGCCGGGGGTCAAAGTTCAACATGGGTAAAAAGCTCTTTAACAATTTTTTTCTCAAGGTCCATAAGGCCCAGGGTCATGATATTTTGCCAGTAGGTACCTGGGATGAAATGCTATACAGTTTCCTCATTAAAATAACCTTGACCTTATTTCAACGTCACAGGGGTCAAATATGTTAAAAACTTCAAACAACAATATCTAAGAACCATTTGGTTTAGAGTCGTGATCCTTGGGTATGTTATGTAGACCAGCTGTGTGCATCGTTTTCCATATTACAGTAATGAGGTCAAAGGTCAACTTCAAGTGCTAGCCTGAGTCAAATGTCAACGTGGGTTAAAAGCTGTAAAATTAAAATTTCAAACAACTGTATTTTAAGAACTGTTTAAAAGATGTTAAAATGTCCTTTGTTCTAGTTACCAAATTTGGTCTGAAGTTACCTATATGTCAGTTTCATGTAACAAAAGAAACAGGTGAGCGATAAGGGCCCCCTTGGTTTCTTGTCTTTACATGTTCAATTCAATAAGTTGTTCAATATATGCCTGAGTTGTAAATAAGTTTGATGTCAAAACATTGTCAAAAATACATTTTTATCAGTCTGAATAAAACGGGCTTTAAACGCTGAATTACGTTGAAACACGTTCAACAATGAAGACATGTTTGATATTTCGCAGGTGATATGGCTATTACTTTCGTTTTATTGATATTATTTATAATAGGTGACAGTAATCAGGTACTGCATAGTTAGTGAACATGGGGAAAGAGAACTTATAATGGTTTCTGATTTCATCAGTTTGGAAACATGTAATATCAAACTTTTACCTTATATACACAAACAATGTACCTATGAAACATGTCGCAACTTTTCAAGACCGACTGGTCCCTTTGTCAAACTAGGACTGAATGAGCGATTTATATTGTTACAATACAAAATACAAATCGTGCACTCAGTCAAAGCTTGACAAACCATTTGGTCTTGAAATGTTGCGACATGTTTAATACATACATTGATTGTGTATAAACAAAAACTTCGATATTGCATTACTTCTGATTTGCTGAGACTGTTCAAATCAAAATGTTTCTTCTTCTGGGCTGATTATTTGTCAGTTTACAAAATATGTATAACACTTAAATTACTAATAATAACATCAAATGCAGGATGCGGCCTACCTTTCATGGTCCATTGACTTTGTCAGCATCTCCATCAACATTAAGCTTTTGTGTTTAAGTTAGTTTCTCCGATATGTGCATTGATGGTCAAAGCCGGGCACAGGCGAGACAAATCAATCCAAACAGCTTGTTAACAAAGCGGAGCACAGGCGAGACATATCAATCCAAACGGCTTGTTAACAAAGCGGGGCACAGGCGAGACATATCAGTCCAAACGGCTTGTTGATAGTTATTATCACATTTATTTTACACTTATCACAATTATTTTTATACTCATAATCACAATCATTTTATATTTATTATCACAATTATTTTATGCTTATCATTGCAATTACATTGTATTATGTCTCCCCTTCAAATGAAAGGAGACATTGTATCAGTACTGGTTCTTCTAATTGCAACTTGTCCGGGCCATAAATTGTAAACCGTTAAAGATATATATCTTAATGAAACTTGAGGTACGATGCATCACCCACAGAAGGTGTGCAGATCACTAGAATTTAGTCACTATGACCTTCACCTCAAGGTAAAAGGTCAAATAAGTACAACATTTTCAGTAAATTCTAGTGCCCCACTATAACACTGAGTTATGGCCCTTTGTTTATTTTTTATATCAAAGTTTGTCTAAGGCATGACTTCTAAACCGTTAAAGATATCTTGATCAAACTTGAAATATATCTGCATCACACACAGAAAGTGTGCAGAGCACTAGAATTAGGTCTTGTGCCCCTCTTTATACAGAGTTATGGCCCTTTGTTTATTGTTAATATATCTACCCAAGTTTTCCGGAGCATAAGTTCCATGTTATTTCACCTACGTTGACCAAACTTACCATATTTATGTATCTTTGAAACGCACAAACTCTAACATTGAAATGGGGTCTTGTGCCAAACTATATACAGAGTTATGGCCCTTTGTTTATTTTTTTATACTGAAATTTGTCCACAGCATAACTTCCATGTTATTTCACCTAGGTTGACCAAACTTGTTATAGTTATGTATCTTGGAGAAAAGGAGTGTCGCATTCTTAAATCGGGTCTCGTGCCCCACTTCATAAAGAGATATGGCCCTTTGTTGATTTTTATACTAAAGTTTGTCTATTGGTTAATAAGGGGAGACAAATGTATTTGTTCACAAAAGAAATTTCTGTTTGTTATACTAACATCACCACTATTTTATTCTTATTATCAAAATTGTATTTCAGAAGATGAAAGGAAAATGGTGGATGATAAAGAAGATAAAGTTATTCAAAAATTATCTACAAGCTAAAAGTTCGGCTGACATTGTTCAGCTGTACCCTGCTCTGGGGTATTATGTCCTCCTGTGTATGCTGTTCTGTGAGTACATGTTTACTAGCTGTGTCGTCTTGTTAATTTAATATCTTGTTTCATGTTCTTTCTGAATTATAATCTAAATATATAACTATATTGGGGTTTTTAAACATCTGATTTGCTTTGCAATGTTTCTAATAACAGAGTGATGATTGGCTGATCAGTAAAAAAAATATACAAAATGGTGTTTCATACCTGTAATCAACTTTTGGTAACCCTTTCTAAATGTTATGTCTGCTGGTTGTTATTTAAACAACATGGACAACCATGAGTACATGATATGTAGTGTGGTCATACATTTAGATCAAAGCAATATATATCCAAGATGGCAGACATTTGTAAACAGGGGGATACTTGCAATTAAGCCGGGTGGCCCTCCCTACTTTTGGTCAGTCTCTTTTCTCTAGGAGTGGGGACCTATTTACGGATAAACACGGTTTAATCTAAACAACTTAAGGTGATTCAGGGTACCACTATATCAGTTATACTCGCCAAGAAGAGTTCCACTCAGAGTGTTGTTGACTTGCAGTAGTCTCCCTTCTATATTTGAGATATAACAACCACAATCTGATTAAAATGATCTGTTAGGCTCCGTTAACTTCGTACTACATTCAGGCGGAGCCATGTAACAGATGATTTTAGTCAGATTGTAGCAACCAAAGTAAGGAGTTGTTCAGGCTTAGTTACCAGTAACTTCCCCATGGCAAGTTTTTGATATGTTTAATGTTGCTCATAAATTGGACACTCATTTTGATGCCGATGCATTTATATATATTTTTAGGTCACCTGAGCTTTAGCTCAAGTGACCTATTGCTATCCGTTTTCGTCCGTCGTCGTCCGTCGTCCGTTAACATTTTACATTTCAAACTTAAAGTCAAGTTCTGCTGGGCCGATTGAACTGAAAGTTGGTAGGAATGATCGCCTCATGGTCCTGACAAAGTGTTGTTATTTTTCGGGTCGATCAGAAATCCAATATGGCCGCCACGGCCGCCATTTTGAAAACCTATTTCAAACTTAAAGTCAAGTTCTGCTGGACCGATTGAACTGAAAGTTGGTAGGAATGATCGCCTCATGGTCCTGACAAAGTGTTGTTATTTTTCGGGTCGATCAGAAATCCAATATGGCCGCCACGGCCGCCATTTTGAAAACCTATTTCAAACTTAAAGTCAAGTTCTGCTGGACCGATTGAACTGAAAGTTGGTAGGAATGATCGCCTCATGGTCCTGACAAAGTGTTGTTATTTTTCGGGTCGATCAGAAATCCAATATGGCCGCCACGGCCGCCATTTTGAAAACCTATTTCAAACTTAAAGTCAAGTTCTGCTGGACCGATTGAACTGAAAGTTGGTAGGAATGATCGCCTCATGGTCCTGACAAAGTGTTGTTATTTTTCGGGTCGATCAGAAATCCAATATGGCCGCCACGGCCGCCATTTTGAAAACCTATTTCAAACTTAAAGTCAAGTTCTGCTGGACCGATTGAACTGAAAGTTGGTAGGAATGATCGCCTCATGGTCCTGACAAAGTGTTGTTATTTTTCGGGTCAATCAGAAATACAATTTGGCTGCCATGGCCGCTATTTTGCTACTAAGTTCTAATAGGCCGATCTCACTTAAAATTGGTCTAGGAATGATCAGCTCATGGTCCTGACAAAGTTAAGTTAACATTATACTATTTTTTACTCAAATTGGTACATATTGCAACAACAAAAATAAATACTGTAGACTCAGGTGACCGTTTAGGCCCATGGGCCTCTTGTTTCTGGCAACCTTGGGTTAAGTATGGGCTTTGCATTGTTAAGGTTCTAAGTTAGACTCCTGCAGATTTCTTGTTTTCTTTTCTTCATTTCTGTTTTCAAACGTTACAATTTCAAACAACTACAAGTCGGTCAAATGCATAGTATTATGTGATTATTATGAAATATTTGTTTTAAAAATATCTTCATTAAATATTTCATTGTAATGACAAGGTACCCTCTACTTTAAAACAATCTACTAAGGCATTTAAATTTCTTCAAAGTGACCTACATGTACCTAATGCTAAGTAATGTTAATTGGCCAGACAATTGTTTGTGCTAGATAGTGGTCATGTGGAACCTTCCTGTACTACTATACACACTGGTATCTTTAGCACCAAGGCCAAGGTCAAGGTATTACGATCATTGTTTGCTCATCAGTACCTTTCGAATGGCTGGACATGTTTTGATGAAACGTCATAGCTGCATTGAAATTGTAGTTATGGATAGTGTGTCATGAACAACTCTAAAATGTTTGCCCCAGAGGTCTCAGTTGGTGCACAGGTAGACCTCGTCTGTCGATACACAGCTATATATTATGGGTGTATGGACAGACGAGGCTATAATACATGTGGTTGGTGCTAATACTTGTTTTAACGAGTGCATGTATCCTAGACTGACTTTGATATATGTTTAGTAAAATTTCTGCACACGTCATGACTAAACCGTGTGTCTGACATACCACATTTATATCTATAGGTCAAAGTTCAAAGTCACATCTAGGGGTAAAGTTAAGTCATCAAAAATGTCTACTTCTATATATTCTTGTTAATAATATGTTAATTAATGATTATACAATGTAAATTTCTATTGTCTATTGTAGTTCAGCTCCAATGGTACACTCAAGATAGCTGGGAGGCATCAAATGTAGGTATATGTTTTCATACAAAATTCATAAAGTTTAAACCACTTCTGGTTACCCCCCCCCAAATTATTTTCTTTTATGTACATAGGAATGTACATAGGAACTTTAAGGCCTTTCCACATAAATTCTGCGAAGGTATGTGAACAATTACTAGGGAACTATCCATAACATCCAATGTTGATCCCGTTTAACTTTTTTTAGCTTAGACAATAACGGTTATATGGTATCAGGTCAGCTAAGACAGTAATGATTTTAACTGGAGTTTTATGGTGTACATTAACTTGTTCAAATGATACATAAGGAATATAGTTAATTGACTTTCTAAGACAAATCAACTTCCTCTAAAATATCATGTCAATCACTACATCATGCAGACACCCACATGCACACAAATGTATTTTGCAGTTTTGACTCCTTTATTGATACTTTGTCTTTAGTCTTTAAAACAACTTTAATGTTACGCTTATTGAAAGATAATTCATTTACTCTAATTATTTGCAGCGTTCCTATACTTCATATGATGACATTGTTTATATTACTTGCAGATGTATGTACCTCCCTCGCCGGTTCCTAGAGAACACATCGACAATATGGCACAGCTAGAGGATGGAATAACCTTTGTCACAGCTTATTTCGATCTGGGTACATTTAAAAAAGGATCAATTGCATTCAAGTATTTTGGAAAACAAAATTATAAAAATTGGATGACTGCATTCTCGAAATTGAACAACTCTGTGATTCTTTTTACTGATTCTTTAGAAATTGAGATATTGTTTCGAAATCTCAGAAAACAGTTTCCTAGTCATATGACGCGTATAATAAACATACAACAAGACAGCTTATGGTCTTTCAAGTTAGCCCCCCAGATCAAACAGATATATGCACAGCCAGGGTATCCACACTACCCACCAAACACTGTCAATGAGAAGTACTCGTGTGCCATGCATGTGAAGTATGAAGCACTGGAAATGGTGATCCGTCAAAAACAGTACAAAACCAAACAATTAGCTTGGATTGACATTGGGTATTTTCGTGATAAAGAAACAAAGCCATTTACATTAGAAATACCTCCAGATTTGAAGAAAGATCATATAGCTTTCATGCAGATAGATAAATTTGAAGAAGGCTTATTACCTCTGGATATAATAGGAGACAATATGGTGTGGATAGCTGGTGGAATGTTCCTTGGTCAGCCCGATTACCTGTTAACCTTCATAGCCGACTACAGGCGTACAGTGGAGAGCCTGATAGTAGACAAAATGATGAGTACAGACCAACAAGTATTGTATATTATGTACTCAAAGAACACAAAAGTACGTGCACGTGTACCAATCCAAGTGTACTACCATATATGTCGATGTGACTGGTTTTTCTTAGGTAGTATCTGTCGTTACACCTGGGAGAAGAAGCACTGGCATCGTCCACCTGTGGGCTACTTTGGGGCACTAGCTCTCTGATCATTGTGTCTTCTGTTGATCCATCAATAGCTGATGAATATGTTATATAGTTTGGAATATTTATTTATAGTTTAGCTTAGTGTCTTATTGGAGAGTTTAAATATATTTATGTGTTTGTCACAAAAATACTAGTTACTTGTTTACATGTACACGGCTCATTGTTAACTAACCCGACCACTACCCACAGGACATCGGATCTCCTTACCTTATAACTGTGTTGGTTTACCAATACCTTTATTTATTTTTACACAGAGAAAAATTGTGTATATACTTGTCTAGGGCAATATGGGGCAAAGAAGTAATTCCAACAGTGTGGACAAGTTTAGGTTGTCAAATTTTCGGAGCGATCCGCTCCTTTTTCAAGACACAGTGAAACAGAACAGTTACATGTACATATACATCATATTACAAGAAGATAGAATTGATATACTATAATTGAAAATATAGCTATTATATAAAACCAATAGTCCCCTCGGCTAAAGACAGCCGAAGGCAGCAATTACGCTGAGATCATCATTTGACAACCTAAACTTGTCCACACTGTTGGAATGACTTCTTTGCCCCATATAATATTTTAAGTAATTCGTATCCTACGGACATACCTCCATTAGGATCCAGTGTTATATGGGATTTTACCGTCTATATTACTTCTTTGACCCATGTCTAGGGTAATAGATATATATTTTTGAGCATAATTACTACATTCCTTTATACTTTTATATACCGTCATTAAAATAATGATATGTCTTATCTGAGCAATTCCAGAGGGATTTCCTCCATTTGTTATACATGTATTTGACATTCCAGCTAGTCTATGTTATACTGTGAACAAACTCCACTTCATTAACACTATAGGTTCTAGTGTGTTAATTAGGTCAGGTACACTATGTAATAGGTTCTAGTGTGTTAATTAGGTCAGGTACGCTATGTAATAGGTTCAAATTCTAGTGTGTTAATTAGGTCAGGTTTCAAAATGGCCTGCCTGTAATGCTTAAATGTATGTATGATATGATGAAGTTATAATTTCCGAGTCTCTGTGGTCTGTGGTGTAACAGGTCTTTCATGAACTGGCCATGCAATGTTTAATATTAATTAAGAGAAAGGTAAATCTTTTAACCCAAAGTTTTCATTGTCCTCAGATGAATGTGTTGAATAAAAAAATCTCATTCAGTCAAAATAGCACCAAACAAGATACATAAGATTTTTTATTACCTACCTCGTCTTCCTTTATTTTTTCATCATTTGTTTATTTTGTATATAAAAATTATAATATGCAGTTAAATTATGCCATTTTCTAAATTTTTCTATGGGACATTGCCTTCATAACACTCATTTTGACATTGCAAGGAACATTGTTACACATCAATATTTTGAAATTGTGTTGCTGTAGGTGATGCAGTTTTTGACACAAACGAGAGTTTGAGTCCTTGTTATTATATGTTATGAAGAGACCTTGAAATTCTAATCCACTCCTTTTACTCATAAGAATGAAAGAAGCTATAATCATGATATTGTAAAAGAAGCTAAATAAATGTATAACTATTTTCTATATACTTCATTTGCTTACTCTTCAGGACACTTGTTTTACTGTCCTGGTACCTTTTAGGGGATTACATTGTAAATTGTTAATTCAGATATTGAGTTACTATTGTTTATCCTTTTGTGTTCTGTTATTGTGTATTTCTATATATTTTCAAATTAAAACCTGTGTAATATGATAAACATGTATGAACAAAAATTCAAAAGAAAGTTAAGCTGTAACAAGGACTAGAACTGCTTGAGACATAGACGCTGATAACTTGAGTATAATCTTCAGACCCAACAATCAATGTGTTTGGGAGGTGGAAATCTGAAGTAGTTTCATGTTATGCAAGTCCCCAGGGACGAGACTAGACCTTAGGCTTATGTTAGCATTCAAATATATTGAATACATGGTTTTAGGTTAGGGATCTAATATGGTTTAATGTTATGTATAAAGGAGAAGTACCAAGGGGTGAGGTAAGACACCAGGGTTAATCTTATTATGTAGCATCAGTTTATTCGTCTATTGATGCCCAGTAATTTTATACATGGTGAAAGGGTGGACATCTTACCAGTTTCCATGTAATGACCCTGGAGTGAGTTCCTAGGGGTGGAGGTGGACCCCTATACCAAACCTGCTAGCATGAGTGTCTTCATCTCTTCATGCTTTAGAAATTTATTTGTATTGTTGCAATGGGAAAGCTTAAAATCTTTCGACGTTGTGATCCAGGTAATAAATCACCAGAGGTGGGGCTGAACACCTAGACCAATTCTGGTATCAAGAGTGTCTTTGAGATGGTGTAGATCAGTTTTGGATTCTGCAATGTCCCCTAAGAAAAGACAGTTTCAAAATCGAATCAGGAGTAGGATTGTGAATGGAAAAAAAAACGAAGTTCACATTTTAGGCCCCGGATTCCTGGCCAAAGAAGATGGGCAATATTCATGTTCAGGGCCACACATCGAGACGCCGGTTCCCTATATAATAAGCAGTTGTCCGTCCTTCTGTCTGTCCGTTTTTAAATTGCGCACAGTAACCTGCGTATAAATCTGTATGTGTTCGGATGTTGACAAATATTGCGTGTGCCTCACATCCATGAGACCACGTATGGTTTCGATAACCTGTGGAATCCGTCAATAGTTGGAAGAGTTACAAGACTTTAAACTCCAAAATTTGCGATTTGATGACTTTCCGCACAATTACTTGCGTTTTTGTGTTGGGATGTTCACCAAACTGTGTCTGTGACTTCATATCAAAGAGACATCGCATGGGTTGGATATTGAGTAAAATCCGTTTATATTTGCAAGAGTTAGGAGCTTTGAATACCAACAATTTCATGACTTTCCGCAATAATCACAGTCCTTATGTCGGATACCAAAACGCTGATCTTTTTATATCTAAAATGGTGATAAACTGTGATATTCACCTGAGAACTTCGCTCTCGTTTCTTATGTTGGAAAGTGCATAGATTTCGTGGCAGGTTTGCTTGTATGTTAAAAATTATGCATGGGGGTTCTTTGCTCGGAAATTTGTCATAATCGACATACATTTGTATGTCAGTGGAAAGAATTATATTTCCCGCGATGTTCCTTCAGAAAGCTCTATTGCCCAACTTACTGGAACTAAATGATCCCGGGATCCTCCGTTTGTGTCTTCCCTTTGTTTTATACACGTGTTCATACTTTTTCACCGTTGTCCATTCAATATGTTGTCCATTCAATATGGGAGATTTTTTTCTCTCCTAGCAGTTTATTGAATACATTTTGTTTTTTACTTAAATATTTAATTATAGACGTGCTATATGATGACAATCATTTACGATATGAATTATAATTGCATTACAGAAAAAAAATGTGTTAATAATAATCCATTTTGAAATTTGAAAACAGAAATTATACTGTTGTATAGATGTGGTGAAATGTCACATGCTTTTTTTAAATGTTAGCATTATTATTATTCTCTTTATTTCCTCCAATTTGAATATTACATTTAAACAGAATAATGCGAACATAATTTATTTACATTACAAAAAAAATCATATTGAATACACATTAGCACCAAATAACATACATGACATATACAGACTTAATTACATTGAAGTCATACATTTCAATAGATATCATTAATAAGTGTATATATGATGAGGTAATGCATACATATCATATTAAACATTCATATTATTGTTGTATTCTTATTTTATTTATATTAATCTTTATCAGGGTGTGAGATTATTTCTACACACTACCGGTAGTATAATTTGTGCATCTTTTCGACAGCTACTACTGATTTCAATCTAAATCCATTCATGTCTAATACATTTAATTCGTAAGTCACTTGTCCCCCAATTAAAACGTGAATTAATTTGTGATCTGTCAGAGAGTGTATGTATGCACTCAGCAGTATACCAGTATCACTAATGTTTGCGATAGAGCACCACAACTTGTCCCTTAGGTGTTCAGTATAGGTACACTTTGATATAATATGAGTTAATATATATCTTGGTAAATAATACCACATCTATGACATATAGCTCTTTGGCTTTACCAGTACAAATATTTACTATTAATTTCGTAACATATAATATTGAATCTTAAAACTCCGGGAATTTCATTGCCAGTTTCCATATTATATGTGGTTGCAATATATTATGAAACATTACAAATCTGTTAAAATCTCTATCATTTGACATTCGTTCTTTCCAATCATGTTCCTCTTTCAACAACACAGATTTCTTCACAATTATTTTCCATTGTCGTTTTAATGGGAATACACTCATTCGAATATATTTGTTCAACATATTATAAAGATTGTACTTTTTAAAAATTCTCAAAATATCATTTAAAAGTCCAAAATGGTCACCAGATCTGTTCAGCATTGATGCGTATAGTCTTCTTAAAAATATACGTGATGACACTGTATTTTTAGCCCACCATCATCTGATGGTGGGCTATTTAAATCTGTCACCCTGCATCCGTGGTCCGTTGTCCGTCCTTAAACAATTCTTGTTATCAGTATTTCTCAAGAAGTACCAGAGGGATCTTTCTCAAATTTTTTATGTACATTCCCCTTGGATCTGAGCTGTGCAGGGCAACTTTTTTAACTGATCGGATAAACAACATGGCGGACAGGCAGCCATCTTGGATTTTGATAGTGAAATTTTGTTATCGGTATTTCTCGAGAAGTATCAGAGGGATCTTTCTCAAATTTTATATGTAGGTTCCCCTTGGTCCTTAGCTGTGCAGGACAACTTTTGAAACTGATCGGATAAACAACGTGGCGGACAGGCAGCCATCTTGGATTTTGACAGTGAAAGTTTGTTATCGCTATTTCTCGGGAAGTACCAGAGGGATCTTTCTTAAATTTTATATGTAGGTTTCCCTTGGTCCTTAGCTGTGCAGGACAACTTTTGAAACTGATCGGATAAACAACACGGCCGACAGGAAGCCATCTTGGATTTTGATAGTGAAAGTTTGTTATCGGTATTTCTCGAGAAGTATCAGAGGGATCTTTCTCAAATTTATTATGCAGGTTCCCCTTGGTCCTAAGCTGTGCAGGGCAATTTTTGAGACTGATCGGATAAACAACATGGCCGACAGGCAGCCATCTTTGATTTTGATAGTGAAAGTTTGTTATTGCTATTTCTCAAGACGTACCAGAGGGATCTTTCTCAAATTTTTATATGTAGGTTCCCCTTGGTCCTTAGCAGTGCAGGGTATTTTTTTGAGACTGATCGGATAAACAACATGGCCAAAAGGCAGCCATCTTGGATTTTGATAGTGAAAGTTTGTTATCGCTATTTCTCGGGAAGTATCACAGGGATCTTTCTCAAATTTTAT